CCCCCCCTCCCCCCCGTCCCAGGCGCCGAGGCAGCCTCGGCTTTCGCACGATGCGCGCGCTGTGCACCATCTGCCGTGACGACTCGTGCGCGGACTCGCTGCGGTGCGCGCTGCCCGCGTGCTCGCACAGCTTCTGCCTGCCGTGCCTGCTCGCGTGGGCGCGCGTGCGCGAGGTCTGCCCCAACTGCAAGACCGCCTTCTCGTCCGTGCTGGTGCACCGCGACCTGCGCGGCGCTCTCGCGCACGGGCCGCGCGCGGGCGACGGCACGCTCCCGTGGCTGCGCGAGCACGTCGCGCTGCTGCACCGCGTGTCGTGGGTCGCGACGCACGGCGCGCGGCAGCACGAGGAGGGGGAGAACAACGACGACGATGGCGAGGAGGAGGCGGACATCCCGCCGGAACTGCTCGCCGAGGCCGAGGCCGCGGCCGTGGCGCGCGGCGGGGCGGCCGCGTTCGCGCACGAGGAGATCGAGGACGAGCTGGAGAGCGCGTTCTGGGCCGAGGAGGAGAAGATGTACGCGCGGCTGATGCGGTCGCGCGTGCAGCTGAGCAACCGGCGGTTCGGGGCGAACGGGTACATCTCGGCCGGCCGGATGCGGGCGACGCGCATGGCCGGCGGTGGGGCGGGCGGCGGCGACGCGCAGGGGGGGGCGCGCATGACGCGCAGGGAGATTAAGGTGGCGCAGCGGCGCGAGGGCGGGCAGGGCGGCGGCGGACGCAAGAAGAAAACCAAGAAGAAGAGCAGGGAGGGCGTGCTCAGGGCCAAGAAGAGAGAGGAGGAGGAGAGGAGACGCGGCGAGGCCGCGCGCACGGGCGCCGGCGCCAGCGCCAGCGCCAGCGGTGGCGCAAGTGGTGGCGCAAGTGGTAGCGTGGTTGGCAGCGCGGTTGGCAGCGCGAGTGGCAGCGCGAGTGGCAGCGCGAGCCAGGCGTGACGCCAAAGGTGTATAGTTTGTACTCTACCGTAGTAGCGGCTAGTCCATTGTAACACGATGGTTAACGAGGTTTTGAACAAGGACGCAGCAGTTGGCAGGGCGCGAACAAGGCGAGAGAGGAAGGGGACGGGGTTTGCCACTCGCCGGGCGGCGCGCCTCCCCCCGGACAACCTCGCCCGCTGTGCGCCACGATACGAACCGCCGGCTGTCGGTATCAACAAGGGTTGACCGCACACGCTGCAGCACCCACCACCGCGTCCCCGCGCAACAAGCGCGTTACAGCGTGTGTTGCTGTATGAAAGTCGTGGGGTCGCTGCTCGTCGCATCTCCGTCACCTTTGATGTGCAGGGTACCATCTTCCACGCTTTCTGGTGTACCCTTGGTACTCCATGCGCGGGTGGTTCCCGGACGGTTGTAGACTGACACGTGTGGCGTACATGAAAAGACGTCTCTAATTTCTATGTATATTTTCGCATTATTTCCTACACACAGAGCACCGCGCAATCTAGCTCGCCAGCAACAGCTACAGTACAATGAGTAGACTGCGTTGTGCTTGCAGTCTAATGCAGTGCAGTCCAATGCAGTGCAGTCCAGAACGGTCGCCCCTGCTCGCGGTAGCCCGCGAGCAGGCTGCGGTCCAGTCCAGTCCAGTCTAGAACAGTCCCCGCGAGCCGGCTGCGGCGCTCGCAGGCGCCACGCCAGTGCCGGCGCTGGTGTCCAGCCAATATGGGAAATTCGAGACCATCAATTGTGGGGGGGAGAGAGGTATGATAGGGGAACAATTGAAGAGAAAGTAGGGTGGCAAAGGAAGGAGTGAGTGAGGGGGGGAGGAGGGGGAAAGGAAGTACAGTACTCTGTCCAGCGCACGGGCGTCACCCGCACGTGTAGGGCGGGGCTACCGGTGTGCAGAATGCCATCCCGCCGCGCCAGCTCATCCACTGCTGCAACATGTTCAAACCAACGGGCTGTGGATGGCGCCCGCCGATTGGCCACGGGGCGCGCCGTCAAAAGCCATGATGTCGCCGAATTGCCCCGCCATAGCGCCCGCCCCCATTGGCTGTATCACCCGCATCGCCCCAGCCGTCCGCGCTGGCAGCACCGGTGCGCGAGCCACAGAGCCCCCCCCATTGGCGGCCCAGCCCATCGCCCAGCGTGCCGGGCCGATACCACCGCTTTGTGCGCTCGACATCCACGAAGGGTCCCCGACGCGGCAGCGCCGATGCGCATCTATATAGCCGCGCCCAGATCCTCTTTCCCCATCGGCGACATCCGCCCCGCAACATACCTAACATCTAACCAACCGACCCAACCTTACACACACACACACACACAACACACACACACAACACACAATGCCGAGGCAGAAACGGCCCCCATCGCCCACCTACTCGCGCGAGCTGCTGCGCCGCCTGGCCCCGGTCTTCACCGCCCCGGTGCACTTCTGCGCCACGCCGTTCGCGCGCCACACCCGCCGTCTGGAGCTGCGCGGCTCCGTGCTTCTTCTCTTCGCCCCCTCCACCTCGTCGACCTCTCTGGCCGACGCGCGCCTGGTGCGCCCGCTGTCGGCGTCCGCGCCGCCCGCGCCGCACGCGGCGACGGCCGTCGCGCTGCCGGGCGTGGCGCGCCGCCTGTGGTTTTCCTCGCGCCGCGCGCGCGACGCCTTCCTGTCGGCCGCCGCGCGCGCATGCGCGGCCGCCGCGCCGGACCGCCTCCGCGGCCTGTACACCGTCGAGCGCCTGCTCGGCCGCGGCGCGTCGGCCGCCGTGTACCGCGTCGTGCGCAGGAGAGACGGCAGGCGCCTCGCGCTCAAGGCCATCCCGAAGGCGTACGCGTTCGCGTCGGACGCGCAGCTCGACAATGTCGTCGGCGAGCGCGTCGCGCTAGCGGAAGCCGCGCGACGCGACGCCCGCTTCGTCGTCCGCCTGGTCGACGCGTTCGAGACACCGTCGCACCTGTGCTTCGTCACCGAGCTTGCCGAGCGCGGCGACCTAGGGGAGTACATCCGCCGGAAGGGCGGGAAGCTGCGGGAGGAGGAGGCGAAGACGGTCTTCGCGGAGCTCGTGCTCGCGCTGGAGGAGGCGCACGAGATGGGCTTTCTGTATCGCGATATGAAGCCGGCCAACGTGCTCGTGGGCGCCGATGGGCACGTCAAGCTCGGCGACCTCGGGCTGGCCAAGCGCGTGGAGAAGCGCGTGGAGGAGGACCAGTCGGGGAGCGAGAGCGAGGAGGGGCGCGCGTGGCGCCTCGTGGGAAGGAGCGAGAGCTTCGTGGGGACGCGCAAGTTCATGGCGCCCGAGGTCGTGCGCGCGGGGAGGGGAAGGGGGTATGGGGCGTCCGCGGATGTGTGGGCGCTCGGGGTGACGCTGTACCTCATGGTGACCGGAAGGTACCCCGTGGGCGGGCGCGTGCCAAAGGGTGACTGGCGCGCGTTGGCGGAGGCGATCCGCGAGGAGGAAGTCGCGTTTCCGGAGGGGAGCGTGGGCGAGCTGCTCGAGGGCATGCTGGACCGCGACGCACTGGACCGGTGGGACCTGGGGGAAGTGAAAAGGAGCGAGTGGCTGGGCGATGTCGACTGGGAGGCGGTTGGCGAGGGGCGTGGCCTGGAGGCGGAGGGGGAAGTGACGGAGGTGGGGGAGACCGCCACTGAGATCGAGGATGCCGGTACGGGGCTGGATAATATGAGCTTACTTGGGTTCGGGTACGTCGCCTGAGCCGAGCTAACTGAGCGTTTCTGACACTTTTACACGTAAATGACTGAAGGACTAATCTGAAGAGGCGCGGCAGGAACAACGAATGTGTGATTGTCCGTCAGGCACCTGTGCCGGCCAATGGCTTTGCAGCACGCTGCCGAACTGTCGGATCCGGTATCACATACACGAGATATATTCCCTACCTCCTTACAGCCAGGCCCCACTCCAAGCAGCGACAGCTAGTACGCGCAGAGTAGCGCTATCGAAAAAGAAACGGCTCGCGCGCACGCGCCCGACCTGAAAACAACCGAAAAACTCCCCTCCTGTATGTTGCGGATAGTGCCGCGAGAATACAGTGCGCTACAATCACCTGCAATCCACCTACGCCTTCTGACAGAGAGCATTCATTGCCCCCCTTACCCGCCCTGCTCCCCCGTTCCCAAACCTGTCCGTGCCCTCTTACCTGCCCCTCCTCTCCCCCCATCTTCTCTCCGGGCCCCCCCCCCCTCCCCCATATGCAACAGCGGCACCCACTTCTCTCCTCCCCTCCTCCCCTCCCTCTTCCACCGCACCAAACATGGCTCCCAAGCACCTCCGCTCCCGGCGCCACCACCTGCTCCCGCACCTGCCTGCCCTCTCCTCGCAGCTCGTGCACTACTCGCCCTCCCCCTTCACGCGCACGCGGCGCCACCTCCAGCTGCGCGGGCCGATCCTGCTTCTCTCTCGCCACGCGCACGCGGCCCCCACCTCGCCTGACGTGCACATCCACCTGAGCGCGTCGCTGCTGCCGTCCGCGCACGGCTCGCGCGCGGCCGTGCTGGGCTCGTCGTCGTACCCGCGCCTGACCTTCCGCTCGCCGCCCGCGCGCGACGTCTTCGTGCGCCACGCCGCGCGCGCCGTCGCCGCCGACCGCTCCGGCATCCACCGCTACGGGCTCGTGCACGAGCTCGACCACCGCGCGTCCGGCGCCGTGCACCGCGTCATGCGCAAGGCCGACGGCCGCCTGCTCGCGCTCAAGACCGTGGCCAAGGTCGACGTGCGCGCGTCGCAGGGCAAGCTGCGCCGCCTGGTCGCGGAGCGCCTCGTGCTGGGCGGCGCGGCCAGCGCCGCCTGCGCCTTCGTCGTCAAGCTCGTGGACGCGTTCGAGACCGCCGACCACTTCTGCTTCGTCCTCGAGTTTGGGCGCTTCGGAGACCTCGAGGACGTGCTGCAGCGCATGCCGAAGGGACGCCTGCCCGAGGACGTGGCGAGGGACGTCTTCTCGGAGATCGTACTCGCAGTCGAGGAGTGCCACCGCATGGGGTTTCTGCATCGCGATGTCAAGCCGGCAAACGTGCTGCTGACGAGAGAGGGGCACGTGAGGCTGACGGACTTTGCGCTCGCAAAGGAACTGCGGGTAGAGAGGGAGGGGTCTTCCGGAGAGGACAGCGAGGAGGAGGAGTTTAAGATTGTGGGGAGGGCGTATAGCTTTGTCGGGACGAGACGGTTCATGTGCCCGCAGAAGCTGACGGGGAGGCAGGATGCGCGGCGCGGGTACGGCGCTCCGTCGGATGTGTGGGCGCTGGGGGTGACGTTGTTTGTGATGCTGACTGGGAGTTACCCGTTCGGGAGGAACGTCTCGACGCGGAACGCGCGGGCGGTGTTTCAGGCGACCCAGAACGAGGAGCTGGTGATTCCGGGCGAGGTGGGCGAGGAGGCGGCGGGGCTGTTGCGAGGGATGCTGTGCAAGGATGCAGGCAAGCGGCTGGGGCTGGCGGGCGTGAAAAGGCATCGGTGGTTCCGGGGCGTGGACTGGGCGACGGTGACGGAGGAGTGTCGGGCGGGAAGCGTGAGGAAGAGGGTGGTGCAAGCGTTGGAAGAGGGAGGGGTTGAGAGCAGGGATATGGTGAGGTATGACGCGAGGAATGTCGTGTCCGAGGTGGACTTGTTCACGTCGGCGTTTCAGATCGGGCGCTTGGGCGAGGCGGCGAGGGAGAAGGAGGTGGAGGAGGTGGAGTTGATCGGCTTCGGGTATCGTGAGGAATTTGAAGAGGGATTGGGGAAATAGGTGGCCACGTGGAGGAATTTATCGATGCCGAGGAGCGCCCCAGTTGAGGTGTCTGTCTCACGTTGAAGAATACGTCATACTGCGTAAAATTTCCGAATTGCGTTTGCCTCCTGTGCCATACGCTTTGCGCCTAGTGTCTTGATGACATGACCTCGTGCAGTACCCATCCAGGGTCGTCAGCGCCGCGCTGGCGGTCCAGGAGCCGGGAGCCTCGCACCCAGCAGCAGTATTTCGCCGCACGAGCGCGCTGCCGGTATGCGTGGCCTCTGCGGCCGCCCCGACCCCGCCCCATCCCGTGCAGGTTCCTCCCCTCGAACCTGCCGTCGTCCCGCTGCCGAGAGTCGCTCTTACGTCGCCCCCTCCTCCACACCCGCGCGAGGAAGCCCCAGGCCAAGAGCGGTCCTGGGCTGCTGTCGCCCGCGCCGGCATCCGTGCCTCCGACCCCCGCCCTCTCCATCGTTCTGCCCCTAGGTTTTCTCTGGTTGAACCTCCCAGCTTCGACCTGCTACATGTGCCTGTGAACACCCGCGCACCAGTGCTCACGCTGGCATCTGCCCAAGCCCTTGTCTCAGTCCCTGGCAATGCTTCGCCCGCTGACCTGGCAACAGCCCGCGCCCTGGTGCGCACCGTCGATGTCCTCGTTAGCCTTGGCCCCCACACAGGGACCCCGGAGGCGCCACCTCCTGCGATCACGGCCCTGGCTATCGCCCCCACCTCTTCACCTCACGGCGCCTTTGTGTCATTTGAAGCCACCCAAGAAGCTCTCCGCCTAGGCGCTCGACTTGCTCCAGCCACCCTTCCGCGCATGTCATCACCCCGGGCGTGGGATGTTGGACTTACATCTACCTTGCGGCTTCTGATACCTACGCCCTCAAGCGCGTACTAGCCCACACCCGCCTCGTATACCAAGACCTCCAAATCCTCACAGCCCCGCTCCTGGACACTGCCCAGAACCTTTCTCCCTCCCCGGCTGCCGGGGTGGCCCGTCGCCTCACCCTTGAGTCCTATCGCCTGTTGCGACGCAACACAGCGACATCCGTACCCATGCGTTTTCGCAACGCCCTAGCTGGTGCTCTCCAAACGACCGCCAGTAACCTGTATGCTGCCCTCGAAACAGTCCCAAAGGACCACACGCCGCGTCCCTCTTCTCAGACAACTTCTCTCCCGACGTCACACCCATGCCCTACCTCCCCCCTGATACCCAAATGGGGACCCACGACCTAACTGCACCACCTGCTGCCTACTCCACAACCTCATACCGGCCCTCTTCGAACCCGGCGCCCGACATGACGGCTGCCCCACCCTCTGATGCTGCAGTGTCGCCTTTGGCCACTCATGCAGCCCCAGCCGGCTCACAAACTCACGCTCACGCACAGTGCGCTCCCCAGTCCTCGATTCAACTGACCCCACACCCATTGGTATGGCCACCCCAAGCCCTCTGCCCCCCCAACGTCTCCAGCTCGCCGATACCAGTATCCACCTCGTCCCTGACGCACGAAAGCACCCCAGTCCCCCATCTACCCTTGCCCCTGGACCCTCTAAGACCGTACAGAAAAGGCATCTATCTCCAAGCACCCGGCGTAGGGTGTCTCAGGCCGCGCAGCGCCCTCGTCGGCCCGATCCGACGTCGCAGCCATCATGAGCGTTCCTGTGACTCATCCCGTTGCCCCGAATGCTCCGCCTGCCAGTTCACTGTATCCACATCTCCACCCCAACTTCCGCTTGCCCTCAGTGGAGGACCTTCTCAGATCTCCCATCCGGCCATCAGACATATTCACCTCTATTCCTGGCGTCTGTCTCCCCCGCGTCCTCCTTCTTTTCAAGAACCTCGTCGACCGTGCAGCTTCTTGCACAGATCCAGTAGACACTCACAAGGCTTTCCTCCGCCTCCACATGTTTCCGACAGTAGTTCTCCGTCGCGCTTTCAGAGGGAACCCGGCTGGCGCACCAAATCTGGTCAACTAAAGGCTCTTTTCTCCCGTATCCGCCGTGCTGGCTCAATGCTGCAATGGCCAGCGCTATGGCATGAAGCCCTCGAAGCGCACCATACCCGTCAGGAATGGCACGAACGCCACCCGCGACGTTCTGCCCCCCCGACCACACGCGCCCGGCGTACTGCCCGTGCTACGCGCCTCGCGTCGCAAGCCCATTACTCGCGCGCTCTGCGTGCGCTCACCAACTCTCCGCTTGCCAATCTGGATGACCCCACCACCCTGACCACCCTTAAAGCGTTACATCCCCAACCCGGACACCCAGTTTCTCCCATTCCGTTGTCTGACCTACCCCCTGCCCCGCAGGTGGAGGAAAATTCAATAATGCGCGCTGTCCAACGCTTGAGCCCCCACTCTGCTGCCGGACCAGATCGCATGTCCCCACGCCTACTACATCTCCTAGCCAAGTCGCCTGTCAGTCCCGCGGCTGGCATAACGGGCCTGGGCACTCTCACGCGCCTGGTCCGCCGCTTGGCGAGCGGTGACGTCCCCGAAGCCACAATGCCACTGATTGCTGCTGCCACAGTACTCCCCATACAACAGCGCCCATCAAAAATCCGGCCGATAGCTATAGGCCAGTGCTTCAGGCGCCTCGTCATGAAAGTCCTCCCTGGTGCAGCCATATCTGACACTCGTGACTACCTCCACCCGGAACAGCTAGCGAACAGCGTGCAAAATGGCATGGATGCGCTCGTCCATGACGCTCGGATGCTAGCCGGACGACATTCCGACGATCCGGAATTCGTCATAGTGTCCATTGATGCAGGCAACGCATTCAACTCATTTTCTCGAGAACAAATACTCCACTCGCTCCCTAGTCAGGTGCCTTCGTTAGCCCGGTTCTGCAACATTGTATATGGGCACACAGTTCCACAGCTAGTCCTCCCGTCCACACCACCGCGAATCATACACAGTCAGGAGGGAACACAGCAGGGCGACCCCCCAAGCATGCTTTTATTTTCCCTTGCTATTCAGCCCCTTGTCCGCCGCATCTCCGAAACCTGCAACTTGGCCATAAATCGTTGGTACGCAGACGATGGCACTCTAGCTGGACCCCTCCCCCAAGTTCTTCACGCACTACGTCTCCTCATTTCTGAAGGTCCGTGGCACCAGTTTTTCATAAACAAGTCCAAGACAAGAATGTACTGGCCTAATATTCCCTCCGTCCCTCCGCAGTCCCTCACTTCAGTCCTACCCGCTCCCAACATATCGAGTGAGGGAATTTCGCTTCTCGGTTCGCCGATTGGCAATTTGTCTTTCATGACACGCCACATGAAAGACAAATTGCTGCAGTGCGACAACACCCTGACACTGATAAGCGACATTGATGATGATCGCACAAAATTTCACTTACACCGTGTGACAGCGTCGGTGTGCCGTATGCATCATATGTTCCGACTAATCCCGCCAAAGGTCTCGGAGCCGTTTGCCATGCTGTTTGATGACTCGCAAATTCGAGCTTATTCCCGTTTCAACAATATCCCGCTGTCTACCTCAGTCACATCTCAAATACGCCTTCCCTTTCGCTTCGGTGGACAGGGTCTCATCGGAATGAAACCGCTTCTTGATTCATCCTATGCTGCCACCCTGATCGACTCCGCTCCGTCACGCGTGAGGGGAAGTAACTTTCCCTCAGTGCAAGCATACCGCCGTATAGCCCGCGCTCCCCTTCACGGAATGGTTTCCACTCTCCCGCCTTCCCTGCGCCCTGAAAGCTATAACCCGCTGCTTATGACCGACGATTATGATCTCGGCTTCTTAGAGCCAGAGACGCTTATAGAACGACCTGAACGAATCAATCACTACTTATTTCAGCTCATTCATCAAGCCGCGGCTAACCGATACTGGAAACACGAACTGTGGAGTGCACAACCCAATCCCTCCGCGCACAGTACATCCACGGTCAGGCGTCGAGTGCGGTATCATTCTTTGATGGCATCAGGTGCCTCTGCCTTCCTTAATGCCCACTCATCGCTGACGTCTACAGTTCACAGCGCTCAATGGTCTGTCATGCTCAGGCGCCACCTCGATGTTCCTGTGTATGAAGATTCGATCCTGCCATTGATATGTCCTCATTGCAGCAAACGAATGGATTTTAGGGGTGATCACGCAACGCAGTGTAAGCATGGATTTGGCATCATCCATCGCCATAATGCAGTTCGATCCACGCTAGTGCGACATTTATTCCGTGCAGCTGGAAGGGAATGCAAGATCGAAGTTCCGTTTCTGATCCCCCATACACAACACCGCCCAGCTGATGTGCTAGTCCAATCTTCTCCTCCACCACCGGACGCGTTACCCGAAAAGCCTACCGCCTATGATGTAACCGTTCGCAGTCCGTATGCCCAAGCCGTTCTGCGAAAAGCTGCTCAATACCCCGCCGCGGCCGCTGAAGATGGGCACTGCGCAAAACTTGCAGCCCTCAAACGCACGGTACATGATGCGTTGCACATCGCCATGGACGCCCCCACTCCTGAGCTCGACTGGCACTTCGTCCCGCTAGCATTTGACACCCTTGGAGCCCCCTCTGCATGCTCAGTGCGTGTCCTTGATGAACTCTCAAAATCGATTGCCTACCGCGGTCACTGCTCCTTTGCTGCAGCCAAGACTCAGATCCAACAACGTCTCAGCTACGCAATATGGTCTACTGCGGCCACCTCCATCCTCACCCGCATGCCGGCGCATGCCACAGACGTTGTCCACCCACTCCACGTGTAAGCGTGAAATCAACCGAATGCGTTAGGATATGCCCCTATGATACCCTGTGATAAAGATGATATGAGCATGAGTGTGAGGCGTCTTTTCAACTTAGTCTTCTGGCCTTGTGCCCTCTCACAACGGCGGAGAAAGTGTTGTATGCACTGTACTTCCATGGCACGTGTAGCCTTAATTGCTTAATGATAGCCGCGGCAGTGCGTGCGCCGACGTCCAGAATTTGCGGGGGAAATTCTGGGGGTGGGGTACTTCCATAAATTCCCAATTTTGACTCAATTTCACAAAAAGTAATGGCATTTTAGCTGAAACATGTACAGAGAGCGAAACTCGGCAGCTGGATGTAGGGCTATACCAGCTTTCGAACGCGTCTTCAATGGCCCAAATTGGTCCATGCTTTTAAGTTTTATGATAA